TATTGCGAAATGGGAGCACTATTTATCAATCTGTAATAAAAGACGTGAGGAAATTCTGTCCTTTTTAAAGACAAACATTTTTGAGGCGAAATACCTAAAAAGAAGTTTGTAAAAAAAATTCAAAAAAAGTAGTTGTTAAAATTCCCACAAAGTGATTTTCCCGAGCCAGCGTTGCACGTGGGTTTGGAAAAATTGCAAAAAATGGTTTCCAAGATGCTCAAAAAATCCCAAAATCAAGAGATTTTCACATAAAAGATTTTCGGAAAATGTCCATTTTATGGAGGCGATTTTCACTGCCAATTCAGGCTTCCATTCAAAAACCATTAATGAAAATCCACCCCGAAAAATTGAAAACTGTGATGAACCGCCCATATGGAACACTTCCAACGCACACCCCACCAAACCACCCTGTGTTTTGCTACAAACCCGCTCAATGTGAATAGTTAGTTGATGAATCTGCACAGTGTAAATTAGGTACCCAACAGCCCCATTTACCGTGTGTATAACGCCTTCATCTGGTCTGTACATTAACTTACTAACCAACCAGCACCGGTCTACTCTCCCTAGCGTTTAAGCAGTTGTGAATGATTTAACATGGTGGTTGCACATCCCCAACTAATCCAGCAAGTTAGTTCGGGACGGGCAACTGGTATCTAACCAAAAAAGCCCACCACTGGTTCAACTAATTGATCAGTTTCCACATTTGGAACAGCCGGCACCCTTTCCACTCCACTCGTCTGTACATTTTTCCTCATTGGTTAGTGGAAAGGGTGCCCTGTTGGGGTAACATACAGTGACATCATTGTTGCGTGCAGGTGCAAGTGATAGCCCAAAACTTTGGGGCGCGATGGGGTCAGAAATGGGGTCAATGTCTCCGCAGCCAGCCACTTCCAGGGTAAGCCACACGCATTCTCACTCTACTTACCGGGCGACTTCCCAGGCACCTGAATTCCCGCAGCTGACTTAACTTTTTGCTTACCTAGCCATGAATTCACGTGCCTTGGAACCCCCCCTCAGGTTGATGCGCTTCATTGCTCTTTGATTAATTCTGCAACTTAACTTTGTGTATAAAGCATTTGCTATTAACCCGCTTGACCGTTTTTTTTTTAAATTTATTAACAACGTTTCGATTGGTGTAGTGGTGATGGTTAGTGTTTTTTAGTTTTTAATTTAATTGATCCAATCAACTAGTGGCGGTTTTCCCAGGAAAGTTACAGCTCATTTCAGTGGGACCAAATTTTACTTCAAATGGCTTCCCATCTAGCAATTGATTGGCGTTTTAAAGCGGAATAACTGCAAAATGTTAAAGTTGGCACGTTTTTAGTTGAGGCACTGTGTGAGCTTTTTGCTTTTCCAACAGGAAATTGGACGATTTTCCAAAAATGCTGGACATCAAACGGTTGAAATCAACAGTTTGTGCTGCAAATGGGGAACATTTTCAAATATTTCTGTATTTTTTTTTAATTGTGTATTATTCATCATTTGTTTTGTATCTGTATTTAATTAATGTATTTTTTTAATTCAGTCAGTCCGGGATTACTATGTATTCAACGTTTTCGACAATTGACGTTTTAAAACTGAATAACTTCAATCTTAAAGTTGGCACTTATTTCATTGGGACACCGTGCACGATTTTTCAAAAACACGCAACCTCAAATCATTGCAATCAACAATTTGTGCAACAAATTTGGTTTCCTGCATTAAAACACGCTGTATTTTTTGAAAATCCATCCAAGCCGGTATTTTCTATGCAGAATGTTCGAAAATTGGGGACCTAAAGTTCGCACTCATTTAATTGGGACATCGTGTACGTTTTTCGATTTCCCTTCAACAATTAACGATTTGTCAAAAACACTGAGAGAAAACCAATGAAATCAACCGTTTTTCCAATAAATGCGGTTTTCTGTAGCAAAGCGACAAAGATTTTCAAAAAATCCCGTACTTTTAAAAAATCGTATGAAGCCGGTGTTAATGTTCGAAATTGAAAGATTTTCCCGCAAAAGTGAACGATTTTCTAAAAACACTGAGAAAACCAATTGAAATCAACCGTTTTTACAACAAATGCGGTTTTCTGTATCGAAATCACGGTGTATCCTGTTTTTTTTTTGGAAATCTATCCCAAGCCGGTTTTAATGTATATACAGAATGTTCGAAACTTGGCGCCCTAAAGTTCGCACTCATTCAAAAACACTGACAAAACCATTGAAGTGAACCGTTTTTATAACAAATGCGATTTTTTGTATCAAAATCACGACGATGACTTTTCAAAAAAACTGTATTTTTTTAAAATCGATCCAAGCCGGTATTATTTTCTATGCAGAATGTTGGGACCGTAAAGTTCGCCCTCATTTAATTGGGACACCGTGTACGTTTTTCGATTTTCCTTCAAAAATTAACGATTTTTCAAAAACACTGAGAAAACCAATTGAAATCAACCGTTTTTACATCAAATGCGGTTTTCTGTATCGAAATCACGGTGTATCCTGTTTTTTTTTAAATCTATCCGAACCGGTTTTAATTTATATAAATATTGTTCGAAACTTAGCGCCCGAAAGTTCGCACTCATTTAATTGGGACACCGTGTACGTTTTTCGGTTTTCCTTCAAACATTAACGATTTGTCAAAAACACTTAGAGAAAACCATTAAACTCAACTGTTTGTTCAACAAACGCGGTTTTCTGTGTCAAAATCACGATGATTTTTCAAAAAAATGTATTTTTTTGAAAATCCATCCAAGCCGGTTTTAATTTATATACAGAAAGTTCGAAACTTGGCGCCCTAAAATTCGCACTCATTTAATTGGGACACCGTGTAAGTTTTTCGATTTCTCCTCAAAAATTATGGATTTTTCAAAAACAACTTTGACGAAACCATTGATGTTATGCTTTTTTACAACAAATGTGGTTTTCTGTATTTATTTATTTTTTGAAAATCGATCCAAGCCGGTATTATTTTCTATATAGAATGTTCGAAAATTGGGGACCTAAAGTTCGCACTCATTTAATTGTGACACCGTGTACGTTTTTCGATTTCCCTTCAAAAATGAACGATTTGTCAAAAACACTTAGAGAAAACGATTGAAATCAACCGTTTTTTCCATACATGCGGTTTTCTGTAGCAAAGCGACAAAGATTTTCAAAAAATCCCGTACTTTTTAAAAATCGTATGAAGCCGGTATTAATGTTCGAAAATTGAAACATTGAAATAAACTTCTTTTACAACAAATGCAATTTTTTGCATCTGAACCAGGAATATTTCCAAAAATCATGTAGTTTTTCAAGTTCGCACTTACTTAACTCGGACACTGTGTACGTTTGTCGACTTCCCGGTAGAAATTCACGATTTTCCCAAACATACTCCAACTGAAACCATTGAAATTAACTCTTGCAATAGATGCAATTTTCTGCATCTGATCGAAGAATATGAATTTCAAAAACCCTGCACTTAAAAAAAGCAATCAATGTGGTATTAATCTATACAAAATAGTCGAAATTTGGCCCCCGAAAGTTCGCACTCATTTAATTGGGACGCCGTGTACGTTCATCGACCCGCAAAAACCTAAGGATTTTCGAAAAACACTCAAACTAAAACCATTTAGACTCGGAAATCGACAGTTTTTGCAACAAATGCGAGCTTCTGCATCGAAAACGCAAAATTTTCCCAAAACACCCTGGACTGTAAGATGTTCAAAAGTGTTATGTTTTCAAAACTTCTAACTTCAAATTTGCACTGATTCCTTAGGGACACTGTGTACATTCTGCGTTTTCCGGGTCCAAAATTTCAAGACGTTAAAAATGACAAGAAATTTCCAAAAATAAGTGTGTTGTATGAAAAGCTAACCAAGTCAATAGAAAAAGTCTTCTAAATCTGGAGCTCGAGACGGCCAATTGAGCCAATTTTGCCCCCCTATTTTCCCCATTAACTACTAGCCGGAAAATTGTAAAAACCCTTCAAAATTATTGCACTTTTGAGGCTTGAAAACCACCGAACTGGCTGACTTTTCATGCAACATGAGTTTCTCAAGTATCAAATGTGTTTGACTTACATTGAAGTAGTCTGAACTTGATCCCCACAGGCGAGTGAGTTTCACAGGAGAAGTCCAGCTTTTCAATCACTTTCACCGAAAACTGATTTCACTGAACGCACTGAAACGCACAGTAAACCTTTTCTTTTCTAATCTCTTTAATAATTCTAATTTCTTTAATTTCTAAGCGACAGCGCTCGATGTAGAACCGGTTTTTATCAATCTGTTTATTGATGTTATGAGATGCCAAATATTCGCTGCTCGCTACGCATGTTTATGTTTGAAATGGACGCATTGTTGAAAAGTAAACATGGAACCTGAAAATCACAAGTTTACGCATACCGGTTCGGTGAAAATTAAAAAAGTGCAACTCCATTTGGAGCGCCTGGAAGGAAATGATGGGATGAAATACAAAATTGGGTTGAAATAAAAACGGGAAGAACGAAAAAAGAAAAGCAATGCAGATCGTTGGATCAATGAGTAGATTTATGCTCAGAAAATGAGTCGAAAATGTTCGTGTCTCAATTCTTTAGGGCTTTTGTGCGGCCCTAAAGAAAATCTTTTTCTGCTGATTTTCCGAAGTTTCTTTATTATATATTAACACAAGCTTCGCGTGCTGATGGAAGCAACATAGAAAAGGAATTTGAGATCTTAACAAACTATGCGTACAAAGAAGGTAGAAGTAAAAGAAAATTGCAGAAAGGATTTACAACATTTCATCGAAGGGGTAGCAGGAAAGCAGAAAACGGCGCTTCAAAATGTCCAAAGAAAGATGACAAATACATTTTTTGTGGAGGGCGAGCCAGAAGAGGCGAGTTGAAGCCGAAAGGGTTTAATCTACTAGCATTAAAAGCCATAGAAAATAGTTGGTAATAAGAAATTTCCAGTCCAAAACCACCTCCAGGCCTCAAAGTAACAATATGAACAAATCTGCCAGGTATATGAATAAAATTAAGTAGAAAATACAGTTGAACTTAAAACAAAACTTAAGTTGCAACAGGGCAAGGTTTGAAACTCCTGAGGTTTCGGGGCTTTAAGACCCCGAAACGTGCAAAATAATTTCTTAGAAGATGCTCAAAACGCAAACCACTCGAACTTGTGTAAGCAATAAAAACCCTTAAAATTCACCAGTTTGAAAAACAGTCAATCTTGTCTAGATCAATGAAAACCTCCAGTGTATCTAACGTTTCAGTTGAAAACCGAAAAAACGCAGTCAGACGAAGCAGCACTTCAAGCTTCAAATTATAATTTTTGCTGATTTTCGCAAAATGATCAGCTTGCAAAACGCTGAGAAAAAATGTTTGTATTTCAGTCGATATCAGGGTTTTTTTTCTGGAGGTTTCTGTCGGTCTCAAAAATACATCTGCTTTGTTAACGCTTTAACCCTAAACGCAGCTCCATAAGAATCAATGTAAAATTCACTCTCTTAAAATCACTTCGCCTTAAAAGACGATAAAGGCAAACAAAACCAAAAATCCTAGTCAGATTAATCAGTAATTCGACTTTCATTTCTGTTTTCTCAATTTCGTTGGAGAAACCCAAACCTCAGAAAAACATTTTTGGGGATTTTTCAACGGTTTCTACCTGTAATAATAATCTAGTTTAAACTCAGGATAAGTGCAGCTCCATAAGAACCAAGTTTGGCTCCCAGAAGGCATCAGAGCTTTCAATTTGGTGGGAATAATTGGGATTTCTAGCTGCCAATGAACCGAGATTTTCAAAATTGCCGCAAAAAGTTCCTGTTTTGTAGATTAGTGGGAATATTTGTCGTATTCACTAACTAAACTGAAATTCACTTTCGAATTTTTCTCATGTCTCATGCTTTTGCATCCAGAGTAAAACGGCACAGTTTTTGATTTTTCAAACGTATCAATTAAATTAATTTTTAAATTTTTTAATTAATTTTAATTAAATTACGAATTAGGGGCAAGAATCTTTCTGGTTTAGTGACAAGAGCGGCAATTTGGTGGGAACAATTGAGATTTTAAGCTCCCAAATGCTCTATAAGGCAATTTTTTTCAACTATTTATGGGTTAGTGTGAATTTTTGCTAGTTTCGCGATTGTAACTACTATTAGATCAGTTTTTATTTAAATAATTGTTTCATGCTACACAGTTATTCAAAATTTGTTGGTTTTTCTAAAAGGAGCATTTTGAGATTTCCAAGTGCTAAAGGATTTGGTAAGTTTCAAAAACGTTTAAAAATTTCCTATTTAGTGGGAGTAATTGTCAGTATGGGATTCTAAAAGCTTGATGGTTCATTATGGCGTATTTTTAATAAATATCTAAAGAAAATCGGTATACCTTATCATTTTGCAACCACATCAGGTAAATAAGTCGCTTTAATTGCAGCAAGTGAGAATTTAGTAGCAAAAATGTCCTGATTGGTGGGAATGTTTGGCCGATTTTGCAGTTCAAAGCGCAGTTATCGATTTTTTCTTCAATTAACTTTAACAAAGATTTGCCACTTTTGCCTTTAGTTGGTCGATTTGTTTTAATTTTTTGGTAGAAATCCACGGAAATTTGACATTTATTGAGTTTTCAACCACATCAACTACTAAATCGGTTCTAGGCGAGATAATTGACTATTCGAAGCGAAAATCGTCCAAATTCCTTGTTCTTATTTGGTGTCTTCAATTAACTCAAATTTTTCAACCGGAAAATTTTAAGCGATAAAAGCGTCAACTTGGTAGGAATAATTGCCACTTTTAAGTTTCAGTTTAGTTCAAGTCATTTGCGATTTTGCCACACAAAGTGAAACTCTAGTGGAACTGGGTTCCAAGGAACCCAAAATGCTAAAACGCTTCGCTTTGCTTAAGGGAGCGAAACCTTTCCAAGGGACCAACCGCTTTCGTAGATAGTCAAATGCATGCATCCAGCAACCGAAAAAAACCCGAAACTTTCGTATATAGAAAATAATCGAAAACATGTTTCTTTGCAGACTACTATGGACGAAGGTCGGCCCGGTGATCACAGCAAAACGTCGCTTCTACAGCAGTTGCTTTCAGATCAGAGTAAATAAGCAGTGGTTTGGTGTTGAAACATGTGTTTTAGGAAGAATCTGTCTGTCTATGTAACCAGATGTAAACCCTTATTGTTAAGAACCTATCCAGATGTTACTGATTATTAATTATCTATAGTGTATGTGAACCAAAGATGTCGTGTATACGTGATCCGTATTTGCTCATGTGATGACTGTACATTCATATAATGCGGCAGAGTCGGCTAAAACACTTGTTTATCTTGATATTTATTCTATTTAACCATGGGAATCGTCCCGCTTACACTTATTTACTTTAATCTGTCGGGGAGTGGCTATGACTTGGGGCACAGGCCTGAATTTGGATTATACAAAAGATGTACATACAGAAGATGAACAGAGAGAGATATAATTCTACTAGGTACCTCATCCGTTAAGGCTGCTTTGCTACTTTTACTTCGCGTGGAAGAAATCTTTTGCCGCCCAGTTTATCCAGGCTTAATCTGACCAGAGACAAATAATAATGAGACTGGAGGTTCCCTGCTAACATTGAAAACAAGCAGACCTCCGTGTTAGATCGTGCTGATATAGGAATACTTAACAATATTTTTAATACATATTCAGGTTCTGCATTGAATTCGGGGCATTTTTCATATAACACTCGTGCCTAAATTCAAAAGTTTTGGACCTTATTATTTTAGTTAAAAAAATAATAATAAAGTTTACATTAGCTGCGATCCCATACTCCTGATTTCAGTCCCGAGTATGTTATACAAAAATACTTCGAATTCCATGTAGAACTTGAATCTGAATTAATCCATTGAAAAAAAAATAAACTTCTGACTGGCATAACTATGTTTTGAGCTACCGTGTATACTTCAAGGTAACAGTAACACGTAGAACCACATCACTTTCATATGAAAGTGTTTTTTCAGTCGCCTGTTCTGTACGATCTAAGCAGGGGTCTGGCTTCGCCGAGCCACCCTGTATAAAGGGTGTCCGTTTTTGGAGCTATCTAACGCGGAAATTTAAAATTAATAATACTTCATCATTGCATTTTTCTCTTCGCCAAAAACGGACACCCTGTATACAAGAAGCTGAAACTCTGAAATAAAAAGCGGCAATACAGCCTTAAGTACCGCAGGCTGTAATCTAGACAGGTTAGCTGTATCGAAAGTGCATTACTACTATTGCTTGTTGTATAATATGTTTCGGTTTTTAAGGGTGATGCGCCAGATAAATGCAGAACGATGCGAGAGTGCAATTGTGTAAATATTTATATATAGTTGAGACCTGTTAATAGTTGTGTATTATATTATATTTTGCTACTGGACTTGTTTATCAAGTGTGCGGCGTCCTGTTCTTCTACTTCTGCTTCCACTCTTCCCATCTGCCTAGGCGGGGAAGGGTCGAAGACTAGGCGAAACGTTGTGTGGGACTAACCCAGACCGAAATGAACCTAGAGCTCTGTCTGCTGCGCATTACCGAAAGAAAACCCTTTTGAAAATAGTAACTGTTAATATTTTATACATAATTTAACGTACGTTATTTGAAAGAGTCGTTTTTGTTGGACATTGTGATAGGCAAGCGCCATGTTACTGTTGCTAGGTTCGATCCTAGGCATTATTTTTAGTAGGTAGCGTTCATACTTGGATTCTATTGTCAATTACCAATTTTTCTCTTCTCCGCAAAATCCTTTTTAATGATACGAAAGTTTATGAATGAACAAATTGATAGGCGAAAGGATTATTTAATTACACAGATATTTTTTGTACATTATTGGAGTTTTGAAATATATATATTAAATAAAAATTTAAAACATACCTGCTTTTGCCTCACTGTTTGCATCGTCCTTCAGTCACATTAATCCCAGTTTAAACGCCGGTTTATTCGCGAGTTGAATCAACTGTCGAGTGACAGTTGCGACTTGTCAGATTCGTTTATTTATTGGAGTTGATCAGATCTATAACATAAAACAATACTTACACACTTTTCGATCTGTTTCTATTTTTTTAAAAGCTTGCAAAAGTTGATTAGAACAAAACAAATCACAATCAGATGTAAACACCAATGTCAACATAACAAGTGTCAAATTACTAGTTAATTTGTAGTTTTAGACACCAGGGGGCGTCTGGACATTTGAACTCGCGACAAGCGTTTGTCTTTGCTGTCAAACTTTTCCTCCATTGTGCACGATTGTGACAATCTGCGTGTGCGCAGACATTTTGCGCAGGATCTTGACAGCTCTGGCCCCGGTGAATGGCGCGCAGTTTGAAAATTTACATTTAGCGGCGCACAGTGGGGTATTAACAATAAAAATTTCTAAGTCAACACAATACTTGGTTATCTGGATTATTTGGCTGTCATTTTACGTCAAAGATTCGACTCAGAGTAAATCTTAAGTGAGTTCTGAATTTTCATGTGTAAATTCATTCATTTCGATTCGGTACTGTGCCCTTTTCACATGCAAACTGTGCCCCGATGAGAGATCAAATGATGAGCAACCTGCAGGTGTGCATTTATATATGCAGTACAGTCCGCTTATAATGAACCCGGTTTTAGTGAACTTTCGGTTAAAACAAACTTTTTTCCTTATGTTATGTATGTAAATCGTTTTAGAATGGAAAAACAAAAACGCAAAGCTGTTTCAAAATTAACTTTAACAAAATAAAAAGTGGAGTAAAGCAGAGTGAC